CTCTTTCTACCTAGTCTAGATGCAGACCAAGAACAGACTGGGTTACAGCTGTAACTTGTTTGTGATTCACCATTGTAGGATGTTGAAGACTATTTGTCTATGCCCACACTAATAACTGCAGATCTCGGTTGACCAGGACTCCAGTTGTCAAGGACATTGTCCACAGGATTTCTATGATCATCTTTTTCCTATGGGACATTTTTCTGTGAATAATTTTGATATATTGCATGTTTGTCCAGGATTTCCAAAACCTGGCAATCCTGGACATATCTCTTGTCTGTGCAAATGCATGAGCATGTATGATGAGTGCATCTCATCCAAGAAGCATCATGTGATCTGCATGGAGATCCAGCATAATGAGAACGTGTTTGGTGTACTCTATAGCACCAAATATATGCACCAAATAACCATGGAGTACCTGAGCATCTTGAGGAGCCATCAAACTTTCTGCACATTTGATCAACGCATTCAGCAAGTCCATGGGATTCCTGTGTGTATAGATTTTTACAGCATGTGCGTGCATTGAAAGGAAGCACAGGCTTTCTGCATGTCTCCCACATTACATAAATGGACATATTTCAGCTGTGGCTGGAGCCCTGCCATTGTGTAAAGCTTCATACAACCCCTCAGCAAATGCTGAATAACCTGCGGTTTGAAAGGCGAGGTCTAAAAGAGAGGTGAAACGGGAAAGGCAAAGAAGAGTACTGTTATAAAGTTCAGCTGCTGAATTATTGGTTTTAAATTGTTCTACTTTGTTGTGGCCTCCTACGTTAAAAGGCCACAGTGGGGTTCTTCTGATAGCTTTGGTGGAAGTCAGTTTGAATTATCCCATAACATTTATTCACGTCCTTCACTCTTTTGTCCTGTAGTCATCAATAGAAAAAGAAATCTATGCATGGGGATTACTCATGGGAGTAAAATCACTGGCTTCCCCAGCCAGTTTTGTGTTTCTGCAGACAGAGAGTATAGAGAAAAGAGGAGACCAGAAGGCCACTACTTGTTGTGCAATGCATAAAATCCATTAAGGGGCTAATTTGCAAAAAGGTGTTGGTTTTGGAAGTTGCAAGGCATCAGTGTCCTGCCTTCAATGTCCTCCTTCACCCTGGTCATCCAGTGGGTGGCTTTCTGAAGGCTGACTAGTCCTGGCTTGCCTTTGGCTGGCCACCTGTCTGTGTCCTGGTAGCCAGCTGGGTGACTGGCATGAGTGGAGCTGTGGAGTAAGACAGAACTCCATTGTGTGGTTGAATTTACTTCATTGCACAGTTACTGCATCTGTTCCTATGTGGGCTTCTGAATTAAATTAAAATACACCATCAAGGAAATTATGAAGCCATTCATCCTTTTTCTGCACTTATTATCTTTTTTACTTCAGCAGCTACCCTTGTACTTCACATAATACCATCTAAAGGTAACTTTAGCTATATTGTCATAGTATTAAATCTGAATTCTAGGTGTAACTGATTCAGGTGTGCAAAATTGAACAGGTATTTTTATTGTGAAAAGCAATTATTGCTAAATAACTATCTAACAAGGAAACCATAATTACAAATAATCTTTTCCATCTTCCACAATAATGTAATGAACAGAATTCTTCTGAACTACTTTGCAGACATAAGCTGTTTTTGTAATATTGCATTAACATTGCCCCACTCAGCAAAAGAGCTTTCAGACTTTTGGACTAGAAAGTCTCAATTATATATTGAGCATTTTGATAGAACAAGGGACAATGGTTTTAAACTAAAAGAGGATTGATTTAGACTAGGTACAAGGAAAAAAATTTTTGCAATGAGGATGGTGAGACACTGGAACAGTTTGCCCAGAGAGGTGGTGGATACTCGATCCCTGGAAACATTCAAGATCAGGTTGAACGGGACTCTGAGCAACCTGGTCTCATTGAAATGTCCCAGCTTATTGCAGGGGGTTGGACTAGATGACCCAAACTATTATTATTTTTGTCCTTCTAACTAGAACTTGTTCATACAAGAATTCGATGATATTTTAACTATATTCATTTTACCTTCGCTTGTCGGTATAGTACCTGCCAACCAAAAGTGGATAGGGCTAGCAAGAAACCCTCTTTTTAACAAGTATTCATTAATTCCTGCATAAAGAAAGGTTGATATATTCTGTTTACATGTTAGGGTCATCAGCAGATACTTTCACCCACCTCTAAGAGCTCAAGTCTGGATTGAAAAGGTCAAGCACCTGCTACTTGAGCAGGTAAACTGTGCTGGCTATTTTTTTGCTTCGTATGTTTTTGTTGGCTTTTGAGATTTTTAATTGCTATGGCATCTACCCAAAATGGGATTTTTTTATAAACTGCAGTTGATACCCTATGATAAAACTGTGGAGTCTTTATCTTTGAACACTAACCTGCAGGTGAGATTTGGTGTTCTGGGGTTTTCACCATGGACAATTTTTTTTTAAGTGAAGTTCTCAAAACCTTGTGTTCTCACTTAGGCCATGGGGGTATCTTATAAGACTCAGAAACTGCATTGTGAAAACTTTGCTGTGTTTCTTTCTTCAGCTAATGTGATCTAAAATAGAATTACTGCCAAAGCCATTGTATTTCCATTCTATGGTTTGTATATATGTATCGTATATTTGTATTTCCATTCACTCCTGAATTCTGAAAAGTAATTCTAGGTGAGACAAGAGTAAGAGCTATGCAGTATATATTACTTCACTTTCTAGCAAATGCATAATTTCATCTAAAAATTTGAGATTTTTTAAGATTATTTCCCAAAATATTTTAAGTATTTTTATTCCCACATGTTTATGGGATCTTTCTCAGTGGTTGCATCATGAAGTTGTATTAGTGTGGGTTTTCACTACACCAGTAGCAGCAGAGAATACACAAGAAAGAAAAAAATCCTTTGTTATTGATTGCTGTTTGGAGGATAGAGACAAAGACATATCTCTCATCTCACAGAACTGGCCTTAACTACCTGGTGCAGAGCTCTCTGAAGGGACCAGAAGCCTTGCATCAGCTTTGTGAGCCCATGGGAGTAGCAGGAGGAATGCACTGCCTGACTGAGCAAGTTCACAGATGGCAGATAGTTCAGGACCTGGAAAGCACACGTTTGTCAAGTCTCTCATACCAGACTCACTCTGCTACATGACACTTCCTCTGCTCAGGATTCTCTCTATCGCATGCACCAATGCCACGGAGGTCAGAAACAAGCTGTGTAACCAGGTGTATGTCCTTGTCATCCAGCATGGATGCCAGTTAGCACGGCAAGTGTCAGTTTGATGTGCTGTCACCTGACTAAGTCAAAAGCAATAATCCCCCAGCTGTTGTCCTTTTTATTCCCAACGGACTTTGCTCTTCTCCTGATGAAACCATTAGCAGCCTTGCCAGCAGTCTCAGCCAGTAAGGCCAACACCTTAAAATTAGAGGAAACAAAACACTTTGACATGGCCTGGGTTGCTGCCCTGAGAACTCTCCAAAAAAATCCGAATTGATGAACTACCACTACATCATGAAGTGGTCTCTTATGTGATTAGAGCTTGTCATGATGAACTTTCCAAGAGTTATTCCTTTCCCTCTGAGATGCAGAATGCCAAGAGAAATAAAGGCACGTCCTTAATCCATGGTAGTCTTGGTCAAAGAAGAAAGAGGACAAACAGCTATCTTCACCAAAAAAAGCCAACTACTAAAAAGTAACAAGCAGTGGAATAAAGTTGATTAAGTTCAAAAAGAAATTCTATTATCCAAAGTGTTGCAGGATGTTGCAGTACTGGAGATTTTAGAAAGCATTATGGTTATATTAAGCATGTTCTTTTAAGGATAAAAATATATCAGGCAGATGTGACTGTTCCTATCTAGCCATTACATTTACAAAGATTTTGTCAATATTTGCAGTGTCTTGGAAGTAACAGCCAAGGCTGTTTATCTGGAATTGTGGAAATATGTCACTTTGTTCTTCAGTGGAGTCAGTGCCCAGGGACACATGTCATCATCTCTCTCAATGACTACTTTTCTCTAAAGAAAAAAAATAAATTCTGTAATTAATCCACAGTATTATTGCGTTTGTCTTGGGGGGGAGCAAAAACCAGTGGGCAAAGAAAACCATCTCCATCTGGGAGAGAGTAATGATGTTTTTCACAGTAAAGGATGTACCTCTGATTTTCTTGGAAACCACTGTTAGATTCCAGGAAGAGCAGAGGATCTCTCTGCTAGTTATTCAGAGAGTGCAAATTAATTTGCAAAGCCCTGTCAGTTGCAAAAAGGCACAGAAACACCAAACTTCTGTACAGGTAGCAAGGGCACCTGCTGCTTTTCGGAGAGTGGGAGGTTTGTTTTCCTCGCACAATGCAGTGTAGTGTGTTCACTGTCACCACCCGCAGAGCCGATAGCGTTTCACTCACCCCATTATGCACATGTATTGTTTCCTCCACCTGTTGCACCCCATCAATAAACTCTGTGCAGTCCTACAATGTCTGACACTACCAGTGATACTGTCATTTTCACTTAAATCCTAAATAATAGTGTGTTTATCAGTTTGTGAAGCTTTTGTGACATCCCTCACCTCAAGCTGCACTCTGTACATGAATGCAGTACTCATAGCTATCAGGGATAAGCAGATGTTAGGTCACTGCTCATCTTTCTCATTAAGGCAATTAGTGACCTGTAGAAGATGATCAATCAGGGATTTTATCCATCTCGATGCCGGTGTCTGGTTGCCTGCACTGAAGGATGCTGTTTTTAGTCCAGTTCTTAATTTCTCCCATTCCTGCTCATCATTATTATTATCCAAAGTGCCTTTTTGCTTCTGTTAGCAAAACCAGAATCCCCCATGCCCCAGTTTTAGCAGCTAATGTCCACAATAGGGGCAACTGATCCAGCACAGGAGTTAAATATAACTGTGTCTAGTGTAAGGAGAAGATTTAATGGGAAATGGTTGGCATTCCTTCTTCCTAAAGGCACGGGGAGGGAGGGGGGAGAGAAAGAGAGAGACGTACACACACTGACAGACACACGCATCCCATAGCGAGGGAAGAGGCAGAGAGCAGGCAAGGCAGAGAGGCAGTGAGGGTAGCAAGAGAGCCAGCCCCAAAGCAGCCCTGCGCCTCTGAGCTGGAATCTGCCAGAGCACAGCCAGCATGTTCGTCCTCAGCCTGCTTGTCTGGGGATCTTACCTGCCGCTTCTCTTCTGCTTTGCTTTGTCTCAGACTGCGTACGCTGACAATGTCTTCTCAATTTCAGCAGGTAAATTGCTTTAAGTCTCGTTACTTTTCCTTGCTTGGAGCACTCTGCACTCTGATTCTTGCACTTTCCAGTGATTGGGAACACAGGAAACAAAATAAATACTTCAAATTGCAGATCTTGGTGGAGGGGTTTTGCACTGCAGACCTGTTCTGCCACATGTTGTTGCTTGCCTGGTTTTGCTTTTTGCTTTATAATTTCTAGTTTTAAACCCCTCCCTTCCCTTCCCCATGAGAAATAATAGACAAGATCCTCAGCCGCTCTAAAATGCTTTTTTTCCATTGGCTTCTGTGGTGCTGTGCTAATTCATGTATCTGGTCCAATTAGTGTATTACTTGCACGTCTACATATTTCTTTCTATTTTGGATGGGTTCAGGTAGATTACAGCAAGGGAAAGAAAATAAATCTCAATGTATATCTGCTTCTATAAATAAAGCCCTGACCTCAATGAGTGGTGCTGGAGTCCAGCTGGGTGTTATCAGAATAAACATCATCTGGCTCTGGCTATGACACTAACAAATACTCAGATGACTTACATAGCAAACAAGAGTCCACTGCATGGAAAATCCCTGCTAGGCAAAGACAAAACAAATTAGTTGTCAGCTGAGGCAGGGCACTGGAAATCCCTCTTAATAGATTTTACAGTTTCAGCAGCAAGACTTTCCTTCAGTCATGTTCTGTGTGAAGGAAGGGGAAAGCTGGTGAGAGCTTTGACTCCATCTCTTCTTTGAGGAACTTCTGCCAATTTATGGCAAATCACTGTCTCCCACTTTCTGTCTGCTGTTCTGTATCTGTCAATAGAGATGCTTCTAACTAATGTCCTGGATTCCTGTGGTGTCAGATTTGAGATGTTTCAACCAAGATTTGTAGGTCAGGGCCAGCTGTACCTACAGATCCTTCCCATGGCTTTCATAGTGACCAAAGGTGTGCATATTTCGTCTGTACGTAAAATCAACCTTAGACATGAATCTAGAGGCAAACAGCCTTTCTTGTTCTCTAACCTCTCTGGTGTGCCCACAGAGCCAGATGGTTTACATTTGAGGCATTTATGAGGGAAGGGCAATCCGGAGGGAAGCTTCTGTGAGAGGTTAGGTGTCTGCAACTAAGTAGCACTAACATCATGCATGATCCCTTCTGGGGGTTTCTAACAAATATTTTAAATGTGCAGAATTACTACACTGTTCACTCCCAATGGTTTGAACAGTCCATTCATTTGAAGATATTCAAATATTAAGATTCTGAGGGCCACAAGAGTAATCCCTTGGTAAAAGCCCTGTAGCATTAAATAATGTAGCCATTACGGTTCTGTAATTATTTCAGGTATCTTATAAGATATCATCTAGAAAAACCTAAAGTTCAAAGAAGTACATACTTTGATAACAATTTGATCCATTTTTTTTAATCTTTAGGAACTAACAATTTTTTTCCACTAAGCTCTGTAGGATGCTAAAAAGCATTTCCATTTGTTATCATTTCTTTTCAATGGGATATGCTTTTTCCATTATATTGAGATTTGTAAACTCTGAGGTACAGAAATCATCAACATTTATGTTCTCTGATATACTCCAAATTGCTTTGCAAAAGCATGTAAGTCATTAGACCTCAAAACTTGTTTTGAAGAACTTTATATTTATCTGACACTTGTAGATGTCACTCAGACAAACAAGAATTGGATGTTTTCATTGCCTTCTCCTGTGGCATACACATTTGAACTGTCCTCTTAAAAAATAAGCATTCATTTAATAACCTGAACCTTAGAAGAGGAAAAAGTTATCATTTCTGCTGAAACCATAGTACGCGAAGGAAAATACCAGACTCTGCTCTTTGCAACAGAGTATTTTCCACAGCACAGCCCTGGAGGCTTGTTTGTGAGAGACCCCAGGGCTCCCCAGGCAGAGACTGCAGCCATGAATGCCCCTTTCCTCCTCCATCCCCACAGGTCAACAACAGCTTCTGGTTTCAGGCTCAGGGAAGGTGTGAACCTGACCAGGAGATCTGGTTCCCAATGTAGTTGTTTGGGCAAATTACCACCCCAAGCTCTGCACCATGGCAAAGCTCCATGCTGTGCTCTTCTGGTCAAGACACTAAAAATCACCTTTATACCCAACAAGCTCTTAGTGAGGTTTCTGCCACAAATGTATTTTCAATGTTTATTTGATAATATGTGGAAAAAATAACAGATGGCAGATGATTCAGTCATAATCCTACAACCACAGGACTGGATTAAGAGATGTACTTTGGGGAGCTGTTACATACCTGTATGCCATTAGTGTTTGTTAATCAGGGCTATTTGGTATGAAAAATGACATAATAGTTCATTTAGTGCTTTGGTTACATCTACATTTTAAAAAACTTCTAAGAGAATAGCAATAAGTTCTGTATTTTCTGGTAGAAATCTCACAGTGGGTACAGAAGGTGAATTAATTCCATTTACATTCTCAGTTATTTCAGTGGTTTCTCAAATGTTCCCTTACTGTCAGCTGAGTCAATTATTTGTATCTGGCACCAGGATGTAATTTCACATTTAAAGAATGGATTTCACCACTGCACTTGCAAATTCTGAAACTAATCACATTTAACAGTGAGGATGTTTTTAAGCAATGACTTGTCTTTCCTATAGTCAGGAAAACGCATTTAGGAATTTTCCAGGTATGTCTGAAAACTTCTGGGCTAAAAATACTTTTATTTCTTTTCTCACACATCTTTGCATAGCAACAGGTCACAAATAAAGAGTTTTATGGGTCACAAAGCAGTAATTAGAAAGCAGAGATAAACAACCAGTAGAATTGGAAAGTGTTTGTAGAACAATAGGGTAAAGAAGAATAATCTGGACCTTTGTTTTGCTGCCATCTCCACCTTATAGTCCCATCAACCTCAAGCAACAGTGCATCCTTGTTTTTGGAAGTATTTTGAATGTTGTGTCAGCTCCAAAGAGTTGAGTCTGCTGCTGCTGAAGCATCGTTTTTGGAGAAAATGCTTCAGGGAATAATACTACAACATGCTTAAGCATGTGGCTGTGGTTCGGTGTGGCAGCAAAAACTTTTCAGGGTTTTTCATGGTAACCTGAAAATACCTATCGTATTCCACTCTTAATCTACTGTGTTTGTATTGTCATTTATAACTTTTTTTCATAGCTCTGCTCTACTGAGGTTCCTGCACTGTTGCACTCACATGATGAAATCTAGGCATGAGTTCTATCGTCATTTTTAGTAGGGCTACATGAACCAGTCTGCACCTTGTAAGAACCAGCCTGAAGGAAGTCACCTTTCAAATTCAGGTAGTAGAAAGACTCTCTTCTCTCTGGCTCATTCCTGCTCTGGTATTCTGCTCATCCAGACCCAAAGTTTCTGAGGTTTTGCAGAGAGATGGGACAGTATTTAAATTACCAGCAGCAGCCAAAGTAAAAGAACTGCATCTCAGTGCTTCTTCCAACCCAAACTGCCTTTTCTGCATGCCACATATGCATCCCTTGATTCAATCTTCTCCCACAATCAATTTTGATACATAGTCCCATGGACAGAATATAGCTGAAAAATTTAAAAGAACTCAATGGGATGGTAATATGAGAGCAATATCCCTTACACTTTCTTTACCTTTTTTCCTATTATTTTCCTGAAGAAAAGGAACATCATGTGTCGCTAGGCATGAGACTTAGCTTCTTTGAGTCAGGAAGGTGTCATATTCATAACCAGACCTCGTGTGGCAGAGCTGCAGAAAACAGTTTAGTTTTCTTGTGGACCAAAACTGTTGGAGCCATGGTGATGGGCAAGGTGGGTTGGGAAGAGGAGCTGTGAGGGATGACAGCCTTGGCTGGGCCATATGGGGAAGGGACACTTGTAGCCACCGTGGTGCTGTGGTATGGAGAGAGGGTATTGTACATTTGTGAGAGAAATAGTGGAGAGAGAGAACACAAAAGCAATTGTTTCTGATACGGAGGGAGTTGGGATCTCAGCTGTCATTCTCTAAAAAGAATATCTGACCCCATCATCAGGGTTTGGGATTTTTTCCTCTAATGGAACAACCTGCAGAAACCCTAAATAATGTCAAAATAGACAGCAGAGATGTCAGGTGGATGGGTTTTTTTGTTTCTAAGGAGAGTAATTATAAATATTTATGTAAAATCACAACAGAAAAAAATTATCAAAAGTGTTTGCTGGAGAAAGAAAGATGCAGAAGGAATTTAAAATAAGACCAAAAGTAAATTCTAGAAAACTTTCCAAAGGCAGTAGCCAGAGCCTACTGGAAAAGCAGCCCAAAGGGTGACTAGCAATCAGAGGTGAATCTGTGAAGAGTAAAAATATCAGCACAGGGAAGAAGCCTGGCTCTGCTCTGAAAGTCAGCATGGGCCCAGGAGGTGCCCAGCATCCTGATGCCATTAGTCAGTGGGTTTCTCACTGAACATAAGTAAGCAGGGAAGCTGTGGTTAGATTAAAATTCCTGAGGGAAATCAGCCACTGGCAAAGGCTACAACTTCATTAGGAGAAGGAATGCAAAGTATCACTGGCCATAAGAGAGGGCAGTCACCTGGCTGTGGATCTGGCTAGCCAAAGGTCTTGGGGCAGGGCATTTAACAGATTTCTGGCTCATTTGTGACTCACAGAAACCTGAAAGGGAGGCAAAAGATTCTTTCAGTAGAATCTCTGTTCAACTTGAGAGAAAAAAATTATCTTGGGTTTGGCAATTTGAGCCTGATAGCCCAAATGGGTGGCTGGAAAGATAAGCCATAAGAAGGGTTGTTTAATGGGTACCCATCTAAGCTGATAAAGAAGGCAGTTGCTGAGCAGCCTCTGCGGAAAGGCTTGGACTGGTAGCAAAATAACAGTCTAGTATGTTGCTTTAAGTAAATGGGTCTTTAAAATAAACACAGTTAAAGAAACAAAAGTTTCTTTAACACAGTTAAAAGAAACACTGATTTGACTTTGTCTGTATATTCTCCCCTGGTAGATATGACCTGTGAAAATCCCAGATTGAGTTTTCTGCTCAGACCAATTCATATGATACTC